TTTTTAGTAGGAGTCTCACTCTGTCACCCAGGCTGGAGTGCAGTGGCACACACACTCACCACCACCCCAGCATCGAACTTCTGGGCTCCAGCGATCCTTCCGTCTCAGCCTTTCAAGTACCTGGAACTATAGATATGCGCTACCACAACTGACTATTTTTTTTTTTTATTGTAGAGACGAGGTCTCGCCAAGTTGCCCAGGCTGGTCTTGAACTCACGGGGTCAGGCAGTCTACTTGCCTCGGCCTCCCAAAGTGCTGGGATTACAGGCTCAAACATTCCTCTTTAATGCCTGTTCATATCTGGCTCCTCAAGGTGCATTACCATCTTACTGAGGGAAAACCCCCTCCCTGCCAAGTTAATAAATCTTCATCCTGTATTCATTCTATATTTGTTTATCTACTTATTTTGAGTCATAGTCTCCTGTCACCCAGGCTGGAGTGCAGTAGCACACTCACGGCCACCACAGCCTCGACCTGTGGGGCTCAGGCGAACCTTCCACCTCAGTCTTCCAAGTAGCTGAAACTACAGGTGTGCTCCACTATACCCAGCTAATTTTTTGACTTATTGTAAAGATGAGGTCTTGCCAAGTTGCCCGGGCTGGTCTCGAACCTGTGGGCTCAGGAAATTCTCTCATCTCAGCCTCTCAAAGTGCTGGGATTATAGGCGTGAGCCACCACTCCCAGCCTTCATTCTATATTTAGATGTCTATATTTAGATGTCATGTTCTTGGCTTTTTGAAACTTATGCTTTGACAATACATATGGTATGATTTCTTCAAATGTTTTAGGAATTATGCATATGTATGGACATCTAGATATATGAAGTTTCATAAGGGACCCAAAAGATGCTGACTTACCAAACTGGTGAGGGATTACCTGTGGGGGGGGGGTTACCACCGGAAGACTGTCAGATTTCCCTCTGTGTGCTTGTATCTCTTGAAGATCTTTTACAAGAATACATCCATCTATTCCTTGGATAACTTTTTTTTCCTTTTATTTTTTTTTTTGAGAGACAGTGTTTTGCTCTGTCGCCCAAGATGGAATGCAGTGGCATTGTTCGTAGCTCACTGCAGCCCCAAACTCCTGGGCTCAAACCATCCCGAGTACCTGGGACTACAGGCATATGCCACCATACCTAATCTTTTAAAAAATGAGTTGTTGTTGTTTTGACCGGATGCAGTGGCTCACACCTGTAATCCCAGCACTTTAGGAGGCAGAGGTGAGCGGATTGCCTGAGCTCAGGAGTTTGAGACCAGCCTGGGCAACTTGGTGAGACCTTGTCTCTACAATAAATCAAAAAATTAGTTGGGCGTTGTGGTGAGTGCCTGTGGTTCCAGCTACTTGGAAGGCTGAGGCTGAAGGATTGCTGGAGCCCAGAAGGTCGAGGCTGTGGTGGCTGGGAGCATGTACTGCACTCCAGCCTGAATGACAGAGTAAGACTCCAACTAAAAAATTAAAAATTTAAAAAAAAAATCTTAATGGAGACAGAGTCTCACTATGTTCTCCAGGCTGGTCTTCAACTCCTGGCCTCAAGTGATCCTCCCACCTCAGCCTCCCAAGGTGCTCAGATTACAGGTGTGAGCCACTGCACCTGGTGTGGATAATTTTCTAAATGGCATTGAGCTAGGGACCTTAATGTACAAAAGTTCACGTGGCCGGGTGTGGTGGCTCAAGTCTGTAATCCCAGCACTTTGGGAGGTCAAGGCAAGAGGATTGCCTGAGTTCAGGAGTCTGAGACCGGCCTGGACAACCAAGACCTCATCTCCACAGTAAATCAAAATATTAGCCAGGCATGGTAGCACGCACCTGTAGTTCCAGCTACTTGGAAGGCTGAGGTGGAAGGATCGCCAGAGCCCAGCAGGTCGAGGCTGCGGTGGCCGGGAGCGGCCACTGCACTCCAGTCTGGGCCACAGAGTGAGACTCCAACTCAAAAAAAAAAATTCATTGTATTCAAATAAGAACATGATGCAACAGTGGGACCAAGGCTGGGTGTTGGGCATCACCCCTTTAATGTGGTTAGGATGGGGGTCTGAGGAACTATGGTGATTGGTGTCATACTGAGCAACAACCTTGGCGGCAGGAGACTTCGGGTCTTGGCCTGACTGAGGACCTCATTTTCAAGGCACACGGCTGGGCAGGAGGAAGGGCGTGACTGAGTTCAACACCAAGTCCCCCTCTTCTCGTCTTCCAGTCCCTGGGAGCTGGCACGTCACTCCACCCCACTTCTGGGTGTTTTTCTGGTTTATTTTGGTGACAGCCCTGGTGTCATCTCGGATGCAGGAAGCAATTTCTTCTTCCTGGCTTGCATCTGTCCCTGCTGGTTCAACACGGCCTCGGGGAGAATCAGTCTGTTTCAGTACTGACACCCTGGCTCACCAGCTGTGACAGCCCAAGTAAGACAGTCCCTCTCTGTGCCTCCGACTCAAGTGCCACCAGCCCCAGCTGCCTCATGGGACCTTTGGGATGGAGATGAAGGCTGTGAAAATGCTCTGTGGCCTGAGGGTGGCAGAGGGGGGAGAGCTGGCCAGCACTGGATCCTTTGAGAACTCTGGGGAGAGTAAGGAAAAGCCAGATGCCCTCTGGCCCACACCTGGGCGGGACATGGAGACGGTCCCAGAACCTGTTGTCCTTTCCCTTCTCTTAGTTCCTCCCTGGTGGGGGTGCGGAGCAAATATGTGGAACTTGGGACCCAGCACAGGCCTCCCTGCCAGATGCACATCCGGGTCCTGCTTGCTCATCTGTCCAGGACGTGCTGTGGACCTAGAACACGCTCCAGTTCTTCACCTGTAGGATGTGCCCACCCTTTGTCCTCCGTGGGAAAGCTGAGCTGTGCATGAAAGTGCCCAGAGTAGCCGGGCTCGGTGGCTCAGCCTGTAATCCCGCGCCTTCGGAGGCTGAGGTAAGTGGATTGCCTGAGCCCATGGGTTCGAGACCCGCCTGTGCAACTTGGTGAGACCTCATCTCTACAACAAATCAAAAAATTAGCTGGGCATGGTAGTGCGCACCTGTAGTTCTGGTTACTTGGAAGGCCAAGGCGGAAGGATCACCTAAGCCCAGCAGGTCGAGGGTGCGGTGGCCGGAAGCGGCCAATGCACTCCAGTCTGGGCGAGAGTGAGACTCCAACTCAAAGAAAAAAAGAAAAGAAAGCGCCCAGAGTGAGGGGGTTGATGGGGCAGGCTGTCGCCTCCCCACACCGTGCCCTCTGCTGGTCTGCACCTTTGGCCCAGCCCTCCACAGTTCAAAGCACCCCAGCACCTGTGAAACACTCCTTTGCTGGCTGAAGTCAGCCTGTGTCCTAGAATCTTGTCCCCTCCACTGTTCTGGTTCTGGAATCCTGCTGCTATTCCAGGCCTGGCACTCTAGAACCAGAGGCCTCTGCGGTTTTTCCCGGGCTGTGCCTGCCGGCTCCAGCTCCTGCCGGCTCCAGCTCCCGCCTCTGGCTTGCATCTGTGCCGTGGGCAGGATGCGGTGGCGAGACCGCGTGACCGTGCTTTTCTTCCCACCCGGCATGATGCTGTCCGTGGCCGCACTGATGCTCTTCTTCTTGCACATGTGCATCTTCATCAGCGACGTGTACAACTTCTGCATTACTCACCGCTACGACCGCATGAGCTCCCAGTACACAGTCGTCCTGATGGTAGGCCCGAGGCAGGGACTCCGGGGCGCGGTTGCGGGAGGCCGGAAGGGCTGATGGAAACCCCACTGTGTGTCAAGGGGCCGCTCTCCCACTGGATGGGCCTACAGTTCTCCCAGGTGATCAGCATCTGCTGGGCTGCCATTGGGGCGCTCTACGCCCAAATGACCAAGAACAAGTGTCTCCACTGCTTTGCCATGAGCACCCTGAGTAAGTGGTGGGAGAGCGCGTGCCCAGGGGAGGGGAGCCCTGGGATGCGGCAAGGAGGGGGCACGGAAGGGCACCGGCGCTGATGGGCACTCTCTCCTCTGCCCAGTGCTCAATGGAGCCATGTTCTTCAACCGTCTGTCCCTGGATTTTCTGGCCATTCAGTACCGGGAGGAGTTCTACTAAGGCCTGAGGATGGGAACAGGACTGGGGAGGGAGAAGGAAAAGTCTGCTTCGGATGTTTTCATAAAGTCTGTTGTTTATTTCCGCCTTCCAGCTCCTTTCTGAGGTGGGGGTGGGAGGCCAGAGACCCAAGGGAGAGTAGGCCAGAACAAAGGCTTGGCCTACCAGGACTCCAGACCCGGCCTGCAGCCACTCTGGTGGACTCGGCCTGGGGCCTGGAATCTTAGTGTCTCAGGCTTGAGGAAGAGAAGCAGAGAAGAAGCACCCCCAGCCTCTCTGCCTCCCCTCCTCAGGTCCCCAGGTCCTAGCCCCAGGCAGAGATTCAGGAAGGGCCCACACGTATGTGAGGGTTCATGAGCGGGTCCAGGTTGGGGTCGCTGTCAGCCGCAGCCCGGCCCAGGCGCGACATGAGGGCGAGGAGGGCCAGGAAGCCCAGCAGTCCCAGAAGCAGCAGCAGCCCTGCCCGCTGCAGCAGGGTCAGCGGCCGCTTCCGAGACCCAGCCCGGCTCCTGGGGGGATGAGGGGAAAGTCAGGTCAGGCTCCTGCCCATGGCCCCCACGGGGTGCAGAGGATCCCTGGCCACCATCCCTGAGCCTCCTTTTCCTCATCTGGGCCATGGAGACGATCACTCCTGCACCTGCCACCCTGTGGGCTTATGTGCAGCTCAAAGAGCTGAGACACACAACTGTGTTCCAGAACCAGGGTATGTCAGGCATAGGAGAAAGCCACAAGGATTAAGTGGTCAGAGCAGGAAGGGCCTCAAAGAGCCTGAGTTCAAACCTCCTACAGAGGAGGTAGAGACAGCCCCAGAGCAGGCCAGACCAAGGCTTCTACTGCCCAGCCAGGGCCTCTCTGCATAGCCCCAGCACCAATTACTTGCCCAGAACAAGCCCCCTTTGTCATGAAGCTGTCCCTCCTGGGGCTCCAAGCTCTCAGCCCCTCCTCCCCTGCCTGGCTTTCTGCCTCGCCCAACCCTGTGTACCTGAGCAACTGAGCCAGCCAGCCCAGAGCAGGCCGGCGACGGTACTTGTCGTCATCACAATCCCCGTGGAGGCCTGGAGCACGGTCATCATCCCGTGTGTCATACACCTTCCTTGGGGCTGCAGGGTGGAGCCACTGGCATCAACAGACTGGCATCAACAGACTCAGGGAAACTGGTCCCTCTTGGGGGCAGGGGCATCTCCTGCCCACCCCAGTGGGACAGAGCATCTCAGAATTGTGGGGAGGTGGCCAGGCTCAGTGGCTCAGCCTGTCATCCCAGTACTTTGGGAGGCCGAGGCGAGTGGATTGCCTGAGCTTGCGGGTTCGAGACCCACCCGGGCAACTTGGTGAGACCTCGTCTCTACTATAAATCAAAAATTAACTGGGAGTGGTAGTGCACGCCTGTAGGCCCAGCTACTTGGAAGGCTGAGGCGGAAGGATTGCCAGAGCCCAGCAGGTCGAGGTTGCGGTGGCCACTGCCCTCCAGTCTGGGCGACAGAGAAACTCCAACCCCCCCAAAAAAAAGAATTGTGGGGAGGTGATATCAGTGCTTGGAGTGAGGGAGGGGCCTCCTGGTGGGTCTCTGAAGTCTCGAGTCCCCTCCACACAAACCACCCCACCCCTTTCTATCCTGCTCCGGCCCAGATAACTCCCTGGCTCACCGTGAGACAAGGGCTCGGGGTTTCCCATGTGGATCACCGTGTGCTGCTCGGGTCGGCCTGGGGAAGGTGGAGGCCGGAGGGCCTGGCTGTAGACAGCTGGAGCAGCAGAAGCACTGCCTGTCTCCTCTGGTCCGGAGGTACTGCTGGCTGCAGGTGGGAAAAGAGCTGTCAGCAGAGCAGGGTAGCAAAGGCCCGGGCAGCAGGCGGAGAGCCCTGCTTACCATTAAAGCTGGACCACTCAGAGAAGTCAGAGGCGTTGAGGGACTCGGGCTCCGGGCTCGCCACCTCATCGATCTGGAGGAAGGGGCCTGTGTCACCGCCTGCCCAGTACAGTGCCCAACCTCCCATCTGGCTTAGGTGGGGCCCAGGGCGGACGGATGGTCAGACAGACAGAGGGATGCTCACCAGGGGAAGGCCCAGTCCTGCCCGGGCCCAGTTGACTGTGGCCAGCTTCTCTCTCAGCGCAGAGGCCACGGGACCAGCCAGGTTGGTTGGAGGGAAGATGGGGCCATTGCAGCTGGGGCACTGGTAGCCGGCAGGTGCTGTGTTTCGGGGAAGCTGGGCGGCACGTTCATTGAGGCAGGCCCAGTGAAAGAGGTCTTAGATTCCAAGAGGCAGGGAAGAGACACGATGAAGAAGAGACTTAGGGCTCCCACCCAGCAATTGCTCACAGACCACTGAAGGACACACCTGTCTTTGTCCTCCCTCCACCCCGGGGCCATTTCTCAGCTTTCCCTACATCAGCCTTCTACCACCACATGACTAAGTCAAGGCAGCTGTTATCAACTGCCCAGCCCACAGAGGGGTAGGGTTGGGTGGGAAGAAAATGCCACCTGCCCTTTCACTGAGTCCTACCTGGGGCTGCACTCATCACATGCCTTGAGCTAACAGCTAATAAAGAAGTTTCAGGGCCAGGCCTGGTGGCTCAGGTCTGTAATCCCAGCACTTTGCAAGGCCGAGGTGGGAGGACTGCTTGAGCCCAGGAGTTCGAGACCAGCCTGGGCAACATAGCGAGAACACATCTCTACAAAAAAAATCAAAACATTAGCCAGGCATGGTGGTGTGTGCCTGTAGTCCCAGCTACTCGGGAGGCTGAGGATCGCCTGAGCCTGGGAGGTCGAGGCTGTGGTAAGCTGTGATTGTGCCATTGTACTCCAGCCTGGGTAATAGAGTGAGACAGTGACTCAAAAACCAAAAAAACCAAAAAAACACCCCAACGGTTTAAGAAAAGCTTCCTAGATATACACACAGGCACACATATGTGTGGATACATCCATGGGCACGAATGTACGTGTGCCCATGGATGTATTCACACATATGTGTGCCTGTATATGACATAATCAAACACAAGTGCCATTCCGGATGTCTGTTTACAGGCACCCTAGCCCTGACACACACACGTCTATATACTTACATGTTGGCAAACTTTCAAGTGCTCTCAACCACTCCCAAAACACAGCTGTGTTCATATGGTCACATACATACATCCATTCATTCGCTCATCCGCACCATTATTGAACACACTAACACGTAAAGGCACAACATAAGCCAGGCGCGGTGGCTCACACCTGTAATCCCAGCACATTGGGAGGTGGAGGCGAGAGGATTGCCTGAGTCCAGGGGTTCGAGACCAGCCTGGGCAACTTGGCGAGACCTCGTCTCTACAATAAATCAAAAAGCCGGGCATGGTGGCATGTGCCTATAGTTCTAGCTACTTGGAAGGCTGAGGTGGAGGAATCACTTGAGCCCAGCAGGTCGAGCCTGCGGTGGCCACTGCACTCCAACAGGGGTGACAGAATGAGACTCTGACTCAAAAAAAATATATACATCATACATTAAATTCATGCAAGTAAACACATGCACTCACAATACTCTTTTGCACCAACTCCTTCAAAAACTGGAGCTAAGGCTAACACCAGACTCATGTCAAAGTCATAACACATATGCCTGCTGACTTATTATAGCTAACTTCTTTAGAAACTCACTTCCTCTCTGTGTGGTCTTGGAATCAGTAAGGAATGGATCCTGGATTTTGGAAAGTCCCATGCTGGTCTGGCCAGCTAGTACTCGAAGCCACAACCACACCCACAAGCCTGACTGGCTCTCAGTCAGCCCTCCAGATTGGCAGGGCAGGAACCAGAGCCTGAATTTTCGGGAAAGACACTGAGACCCAGAAAGGGAAAACAACTTGCCTGAGCTCACAGAGCAGGGGCTAGAATGGGACTGACTCTGGGGGACTGAACGGGACTAGACTCTGGGGCTCTGGCCTCTTGAGACTTGGGGGATTCACTGTCCTTTTGTTTAGACAGGAACTGGAAACCAGTCACCAAGCTGGCCCCTGAGGCTGGCCTGATTTCCCCCACAAAGGTGCCCAGGCCTCACCATAGCAGACTAGGCGGGTTGTCTCGCGGCTGGCCAGGGGTACGTTGCACAGGCGGCAATTGGGGTTGTAGTCGCTATCTTGAAGCCACTGCAGGTAGGACTGGACGATGCACTGGAGTTGGAGAGAGCTGTCACAAAGGGTGCCAGGGCTGCTCAGCCTAACGCCCCAAGGCCCACCGGCCTCTTCTCTCATCAAAGAGGAGACTCCTCCTTTCGCTTGTTAATCAATAAACATTTACTGAGCACATACTGTGTGCTCTCTCCTGGAGGCTGGGGATATATCAGCGAACCAAACAGGCCCAGCCCTTGCCCTCGTGGAGCTTACATTCTAGCACGGAGCCCCTCGAGGATTGGGAGAAAGCCAATACTGCCAGCCCACCCAGTGCCCCGCGCAGCCGCTCCCCTGAAGGTCCCACCTTGGCGTGATTGGCCACCAGGCAGTGCTCGCAGACGTTGACCCGGTGTTCGAAGCAAAACAGGTTGGTCACCTTTCTCTTGGGGCACTTGCAAAGCCCCATGGTCGACCCTGGGGAAGGGGCCGGAGTTGACAGGACCCCAGGTTCTGGGGGCCGCCGCTACGCCCTCACCAGCCCGCTTGGTTTCCACTCTCAACTCCCTCAGACCCTCTCATCTTCGCCCCGACCCCAAATTCCTGCCCGCTGCCCCTCCTTATGCGGGGTCACCCTACCCGCACAAACCCCGCCTCCAGTGACCCCCT